GTTGCTGGTGTTTTGGTGGCTGGTGGTTGTCGTGAACGAGATGAACCACAATCGGTGTTTGTTGGCTGCTGCTGCCGCCGCCGCCTGGTTTGGGTGTTGCTGTTGACGTGCTGTCAAGGTCTCCCAGTAGTGCCCTTTCGCACCCCTTTTTTGGGGGAGGGTTCCCCTACTAAAACAGACCACAGAAAAGAAACGGTACCCACTTATTCTAACCTCTCTACTGGAGGACCTAGTCCATGTTTCTGCTGGGCCAGTTGCCTGCGCACTGGTGCCGGCCACCCCTGGGGATCGATCCACCCCTTCCTGGGCTTTGGTATAGCTTCAGCCAGTGACACACAAAAATAGGGGTCACAAGCCAAGGACTCACCTTGGGCCGCAATTTTTGTTGAAAGATGCTTTGCTTTTGCTCGTATGGAAGGAGCGGTGGGTGTTGGTCTGTTGCGCCATTCCTAGTGTAGTTGCTCTTCCCCCAACCCTGCATGTTGTTCTCATGCATGTGTCCTTCTGCCTTGTTCACTAGCACGGAACCTGCGAGGGCTTTACTTGTCGCGCCCTATTTTGCCGCTCCCAATGCTTCCACAGAGGCCCTTCAAATTCTCCAAGGCGTGTTCGGCAAGATTTGACCTCGGAACTGGCAAACATTTAGGTGACAGTTTGCCAGAGGTCAAAGGCCAGCACAACGCGTGAAATCTTTGATAGTGCACTGTCACGTAAAGAGGTCTGGCGAATACGATGGCAAAGCCAGAACCTACTTAGGTGCAGTCTGACAGAACTTATTTGGCCCTGTCTCAGTTGAGGCTTCAGCACGTCCTTGTTTTTTGCGCTGGCACTCAGGGAATTCAGCCTCGACGACAATCAGTACACTCTTCACGCTGCTTGGACTGAATCGGATTGTTTGCAACTGGCCCAACCGGCCCGCCAAAGCTGATATGCAGCTTTTTGGACAAGGACATGCTTGAATGTGTCCTTTCCCAAGATGTCCCCAAGTTCACCCACACAGACGCACAGACAGACAGACACTGGCACAGACAAACGCGAAGACAAAGAGACAAACACACATTTTACAAGGTCCAAGGAAGTCCCGATGTGCTTCGAACCCAACTTGAACCCTGAGAGTCACTCGGTTTGCGGGTGTGATTGTGTCATGTGGCACATGCAAGGTGCAGACTGCGTAGTGGGAATCCAATTCTGTCCTTGTTGGATAGGAAGCCGATACAAAAAGCATCAATGCCCACCAAGAAGTTGGGCCTAATTCTCGGTTGCAACCACCCAGCGGGTCCAAGTACTTTCTGAGGATGGCTTTTGGGGGGTGAACAGGGGTCTAAGTGCTTTCTGGCTATGTGGTAACGGAGCTTTGGACGGCTGTTTGGTTGAAGCAGGCCTTTTTTTCCCTCACTCCTTGAGTTCCCGAACTTCAGTCACTTTCTGGGAAGCCCAATTTAGTGGCTTGCACAACAAGTCCCACCACTTTTTCCTGGTCAATCCACTCGTTGGAAGTGAGAAAGCCTCACACAAACCTGGAGATTCCAAAAAAAAACGGAGGTTGGATGCTTTTCTCGGGAAACATGTCCAACTCGTTCCCTGAGCACGAGAGTGAAAACTTGCAGAGTCAGTGGTGCGGTCAGGAGGCGCATCGGGGCTTCACGCCCATGGACGCGGAAGCCTCCGGCTTCGTTTGCGTCTCCACCAACGAGTCCTGGACGCCCCTCCGCAGCTCGGACGAAGCCGAAAACGCGGAATTTGGGCGGAGCTCGACGACGTGCACATGGAGACGGGGTCCTTTTTGGAGGTGGTACCCCTTGTTTGGAGGTGGTACCCCGTGTTTGGAGGTGGTACCCCTTGTTTGGAGGTGGTACCCTTGTTTGGAGGTGGTACCCCTTGTTTGGAGGTGGTACCCCTTGTTTGGAGGTGGTACCCTTGTTTGGAGGTGGTACCCTTGTTTGGAGGTGGTACCCCTTGTTTGGAGGTGGTACCCCTTTTTTGGAGGTGGTACCCTTTTGTTTGGAGGTGGCACCCCTTGTTTGGTAAGAGGAAGACCGTGAAGCCATTTTTGGGGGTCCGGTTCTTGAAGAAAGACAAGCCCACGGCTTGCTGTGCTTTGAAGCCATAGAATTTCGACAAGCCCAGAAGGAGTCCGTGACCTTCTGCTCAGTCCCCGGTAAGGTCGGTATGAGTCGTTGGTGTTTCACCCATGGAGGGTAGATGCGTTGGCTCCCTCATGGCGGTGGTAACATGGAGTGAACAGTGCTAAGATTGAAATTTGCTGCCATAGTTTTCCTCCCGCAAGCAAAGGGGGTTTTCCGCAACCTCCATTTAGACTTGAAAGACGTCCGTCCTTTCGAACAGAACTTCTGTGCATGTTTCTTCGGGTGCATTGTCAGGATGTTGCTGTGGGTCAAAACCAATGGTACCATTTTGGAGTAGGTGCACCGCGCATTTTAGTCTATTTTAGTGGGGGATTGGGATGTTCACTGGGGGTACGGGCTTTTGACCCATTGCCATGTGTGTTTGTTAAGGCCGAAACTCGGGGCCCCACACGGGTTTTGGCGCGTCCAACGGCATGTGTGGTTAGATTACGACAGATTTCCACGCCGTGTTTTTTGCTTTTGTGCATTGAGCTACCACAAGGACCACAGCAAATCCTTGAACTTATGCACCTTTGCGGGCATTTTGGCGGTGAGCCTGTTGCATTGTAGAGCATACGTCGCGAGACGTTAATCCCACGTTGGGCCAAGTAAACACATTCAGGGAAATCAATTGCAAGAGCAGGGCAGAAACTGTGATCTCTGGGGGTGTCAAACGGTATCATCAGCAAAGTTTCGCAACATCATCAGATGCCTGGCACTGTCAGAAATAGTCAACATGATTAACATTCAGCACATAGGTGGACTTCTTCTCGACACAACTCGCAGATATGCGGCTTCAACACTGCTTCAGAGTCACTGTTTGTTTCGCATGCCGTCACTGTTTCGCACTGTTAGTTTGTTCAGATAGCAGAGTCAGCATGCACTGTAAGCACAGTTCAGCGAGAATTCCAGCCGCAAACATCGGCCTTCCCCCTTGGTCATCCCTCCCTAGGTCCCCCAGTAGTGCCCTTTTACCCTTTTTTGGGGAGGGTTCCCCTACTAAAATAGACTTCAGAGAAAAAGAAACGGTACCCTTATGCTAGCCTCTTAAAAACACAACTTTTCAACTTTTTGTGTAACATGGGCTATATGTCCGTAAAAGATGAGAACTTCTCAAATCCGGAGGGCCTAGCTCCTCTTGCGCCAAATTTTCGGGCGAGGCGGCATGACGCTGAAGCAGGTGTCGGGCATCGGGCCGCACCTGCAGCACGGCCGAGAAGGGTTTGGTGTAGTACTGTGGATGGACCAAATCCATTTTGCACCACCTAAGAAGCCCTGGAATGGTCTGATTCCCTGTAAATACCAACAAACAGTTGTTTCCCATGGTTTCAAAGTGGTGCAGGATTTTGTCCATCCACAGTAGGGCTGGGATGTCCCGCAAAAAGTGGCGGCTTGCTGCTGGGCTCCAACCAAACTCCCCACTTTTGGAGGGCCAAAGAGGTTTTTGTCAGTTGAATGGATGGGAGGCAATAGAACTGGGGAAGGGGTAGCGAAGACTTGCTTGGATGTCGCTCCTGTTTTCGTGTAGGGCAACCCTGCAAAAAAACGGGGAGTGTGGTGAATTGGCCCGTTTGGAAAAGCCCCAATGTACGTTTTTCGCGAGTCACCAAATTGGCTGTTCTTGAACCCCCCTCTTGGTGTTTGGTGTTGCTCAGGATCGATTTTGAGCACTTTAAATGTGCGCCTTGTCCAGCGACAGACTGCCTTTGGAGCCCACGGCGATTGTTCATGGAGCATGGCATATGCATTCTGACCGTCTTTCGGATTCAGAGCAGTTTCCCGTGTGTGTGTGTGTGTGTCAACATTCAAAGGCCTCTTCGCAGGGATAAACCGGAAAGGTACCTGGAACCTTTGTTACTCAGCCGCACACACCAAGCTACATATCATATGCGAGAACCTCAAGCGCATGTTGCGGCACGGCTTATGCGGCACTGTTTCACGGCTTTGGTTATGTTAGTTGAGGGTTGGTGATATGTTTTGAATATGTTTGATTGTTGTAACAGACAAATCTGTTTGGCATTATGTGTGCACATGGTTTTAAGCTTGGACTCTTGTTGCAAGCGGTTCCTAGTGGAATTGTTTATTTGCCTCGTTGTCCAGCCTGGCAAACAAAAGTAGGGCATCTCCAGATGTTTTGACCCGGAGGGACTCGGACGACGCAAGTTTGAAGCGGAGTTGGAAGCCATCGAGAGAAGCCTGGAAAATTCAGCTGGATTCTGTCAGGCTTGAAGTAAGCTATATTCTGTAACTTTTGTGCATTTTGCCAAGGGATGTTAGGACTTCAACCTTTTCGCCAACTATTTTTGTTTTCCATTAGACCACTAAAAGTTAGTCACTTCTAGCAGGGCAGCAGATGTCGCCATCAAGGTAAGCTCAGCGAGCTTTTATTATAAATGGTTGTGGGCACAGTGGCAGGCACAGAAAAAGCCAGGTCCGGGACCCTCCGCCCCCGCTAGCCCTGCAGCCCCGTGGAAGGGGCTTGTGGCATCTGGCAGACGCGAAAAGGCGAAATCCATGCGGCCAGGGCTCGACCGCATCAAGTTTTGAGGTTGATCCAACAGTTAGCTTCTGACGAATTCGGCTGGGGAACGCACAGCGATACATGAAGCTGTTGTTGATGCCGTTGGAGCCAGGTGCAACACGACCCCGGAGTTGTGTTTTTTCGACCTGCAACTCGCAAATCCCCTTGTGCCAAAATTAAAAATCGGCCCAAGACCCATTTTGTTGCGAGACGCAACTCGCAAATCCCCTCTTGCCAAAAAGAAACAAGATCAGCCCAACAGCTTCTGTGTTCGTCGCATGCCCAGCAAGGCACCTTATGACGGTAACTAGGTCCCCCAGCAATTGGTGCCCTTTTTAACCCCCTTTTTTTTGGGGGGTTTTGGGCTCCCCTACTAAAGTAGCCCAAACTGAAAAACAAATGACGGTACCAACTGATTTTAGCCTCTCAAATCTGGAGGACCTACTGTGGATGGACAAAATCCTGCACCACTTCGAATCCCTGGGAAACCACTGTTCGTTGGTATTTACAGGGAATCAGACCATTCCAGGGCTTCTCAGGTGGTGCGAAATGGATTTTGCAACCATCCACAGTAGGTAAGAATTTGGTGCCCTCGCCCAATGGCCCAGGCAGATCGCCCGGAAGAGCGCCAAGAAGCACGGCCAGAAGGCGACACCGAACTCGGTCCACTCGGTCCACCGGTCTGTTTTATGTGTTTTTTCTTCTTTTTGTTTCTTTGTTTTTCTTTCTTTTTTTGTAAGAACAGCGGTCTTGAAGAAGGTGGCAAGTCTTCCATACATGAACGCTTGCTTTTTGCTTTTCCCTTGTTGGTCTTACAGGGAATCTATCACTGGACAATGTTCTCATTTGGGTGATGGAGTCCTGGATTCAAGGGTCTTAAACGCCGCAATTCAACCCGCATTTAAGTCACGAAAGCTGTGCGATCGCGGGAGTCTAAGCAAAAGCTTCTTGGGGCTGAGCTTCCCACGCCTGACTCAATTTCAGGGATTGGGGGGGCGGGGGGCTGGGGGCTATAAAGCCCGACTCGCAAGACCAAATCCTTACCTTGGGCACACCCCCAAAAAAAGGGCAACAAGTGGGGGCATTTGCTCGCCCGCTGGCATTCTTGCTGATAGGTAGGGAATGACAACGAGTCTTTTTTTGGGATGCCCTAGGAAGCCAAAGCGGCCATGGGTTTTTCTCGAAATCATTCCATGTCCCGTTCCGCTCTCGAAGCGATCGCACGTCTTGAAAGCCTTCAGATCTCTGTGTGGAACATTTCTGCAGATGAACCGGGGCCGGCTGGAGCATGCCGGCTGCACAGCTTTTTGGGACAGAGTTACGATGTTTGAGACAATGCAGTGATTTCTCTCAATGACCAAATTCCTGCTCAACATGGAGTGACTGATTCTGAACTGCGCTTCAGCTGTGATGGCATGTCAACATCATGTTAGATGCTGCAAATGCCTACATGAAGGCCTTCAACAACACACAGCGTTGTAGCTTTGTAGGTAGAGAGAGCACACCTGCAACAAATACAGCCAAGAAAGATCGCGGAGCAAGGCCCTTGCGAGGCTTGTATGGTCGGATCGAAGTCAGGCTGCTTTGGCAAGTGAGTCACATCCTATGTGTGGACACCCACAGAGTTGCCCCCAAATAGTGTTTCCTCAAAGCTAGGTTGCCCTCCCACCAATTCACATGGAACCTGACGGAAAAGGGGGCTGGTTTGGACAACATGTTCCTTTTCTAGGCACCCCCAATCGTCAGTTTCCATGTAAAGACGGGTGGGAGGGCACTTCTCTTTTGGATCTTCTGGTCTTTCAGGATGCCCCGAGGGCTCCTTGCCCCCATTTAAAGAACGGTTCACTCAACTTAAACGATCAAACTCCTTCGGGAAATGCTGGTGTTTTAATGATGGCTTGAGATCAGGGATGCCACCCGAATTGGCGCCAGATCTTCGAGAAGAAGAGCTTTGGGCACGAGTGGCTGCAGGACGAGGGTTGTCCAAAATTGATCCGGGTGCTTGACCGGGTATTTGTGAGAGTTTGTCAGTGATGGACCTGGCTTAAGCAGCTTGGAAAGGGGCATGCTCCAAGGAAGTCTTGTTTGATGTCCCACCAATGCTCGAATCACGCACGCGATCGGGCTCATCAGACAAATGTTAAGCTTGGTCTTCGGCAAAATGGGCATCGTTGAGGTTGCGAGTCTGGTTGGTTTGAGCGCGGCTTCAGTTCTTGTTATGTCTAGTGTGTGTGTGTGTGTGTGTAGTGTGTGTAGTGTGTGTGTGTGTGCTGTGTGTGTGTGTGCTCTGTGTGTGTGTGTTGTGTGTGTGTGTGTTGTTTGTGTTTTGTGTGTGCGTGTGTGGGTTGTGGGTGTGTGTTGTGTGTGTGTGTGTGTGTTCTGTCTGTGTGTGTGCTGTGTGTGTGTGTGTTGTGTGTGTGTCTTGTGTGTGTGTTGTGTGTGTGTGTGTTGTGTGTGTGTTGCGCGTGTGTGTGTGTGTGGCGTGTGCGTGTGCGTGTTCTGTGTGTGGTGTGTGTGTGTTGTGTGTTGTGTGTGTGTGTCTGTTGTGTGTGTGTGTGTGTGTGTGCGTGTTGTGTGTGTGTGTGCTTTGTGTGTTGTGCGTCTTATATGGGTGTGGCTCAAAAATTGACAGGAGGGGTTACGCAGGTTTTAGTCCATGTTTCCACTTTCCAAGGTTCCATGTTAGACCGGTTTTTTGAGCCACAGCCATGTATATGCATATATATATATATATGTGTGTTGTGTGTGTGTGTGTTGTGGTGTGGTGTGGTGTGGTGTGGTGGTGGGCGTGGGTGTTGTGTGTGTGTGTGGGTTGTGTGTGTGTGTGTTGTGTGTGTGTTGTGTGTGTGTTGTGTGTGTGTTGTGTGTGTGTTGTGTGTGTGTGTTGTGTGTGTGTTGTGTGGTTGTTGTGTTGTGTGTGTGTGTGTTGTTTGTGGGTGTTGTGTGTGTGTGTGTGTTCTGTCTGTGTGTGTGTGTGCAGTGTGTGTGTGTGTTGTGTGTGTGTGTGTCTTGTGCGTTGTGTGTGTGTGTGTGTTGTGTGTGTGTGTTGCGCGTGTGTGTGTGGCGTGTGCGTGTGCGTGTTCTGTGTGTGGTGTGTGTGTGTGTGTTGTGTGTTGTGTGTGTGTGTCTGTTGTGTGTGTGTGTGTTGTGTGTGTGTGCTTTGTGCGTTGTGTGTCCTATGTGGGTGTGGCTCAAAAATAGACAGGAGGGGTTACGCAGGTTTTAGTCCATGTTTCCACTTTCCAGGGTTCCATTTTAGACCGGCTTTTTGAGCCACAGGCATGTATATGCATATATATATATGTGTTGTGTGTGTGTGTTGTGGTGTGGTGTGGTGTGGTGTGGTGTGGTGTGGTGGTGGGTGTGGGTGTTGTGTGGGTGTGGGTGTGGGTGTGGGCGTTGGCGTAGTGTGGGGTGGGGTGGGGTGGGGTGGGGTGGGGTGGGGTGTGTGTGTGTGTTGCCCATGTTTTTGTGTTTCATTGTTACATAGCCTGGCGATGCTCGCCTCTTTTGTTGGGGGATGGCTGCCAGGAAAGGCACAGGTGCCATGATGCGGTGAGTGGAGGGAAAGACAAGGCTTTCCTGCCCCCGTGGAAGAACACAGTGCAGGCTGGGTGGGAGGGGGGGCGGGTGGCAAAGGTGCAACAGCAGTCAAGAAGTGCAAGGTTGTAACATGTTTTGGCACCAATCATTGTGGCCTCAACTGGGAAGTATATAATGCAATGGAGGGGTATTTATTTTAGGATGTTGTTGTTTTCTTTTCGCTGTTGGCTTCTTGGCTTTTCGGCTTCTTGGCTTTTCGGCTTCTTGGCTTCTTGGCTTTTCGGCTTCTTGGCTTCTTGGCTTTTCGGCTTCTTGTTGGTTTACGCGGCATTTGGTGGGTTTTGGCTTTGGCTTTTTTTGAACTGCATTCCAACTGCATTCCAGTTCAAACCAGGTGGCGTTTGCAGCTTTTCGCTGGTTTATGCGGCTTTTGGTGGCTTTGGCTTTTCGCGTCCTCTGCTATCCCAGTTCCTCTCCGGTTCATTGGTTTTTGGCTTTGGCTTCCCGCATCCTCAGCATCACCAGTTCCTCCCTATTTGAATCATCACTTCTTCGAACATCATGGGGGGGCTGGGACACCCGCTGCTTTTTATATTCTATCGCACCCTTTCTTGAATCATTGCACCCCTTTTGAATCATCACTTCTTCGAACATCATGGGGGGCCTGCCGCCCCCCAACCCCCCGCTACTTTTCCGATTTTCTGCAGAGATTTAATTGCACCCCTATTTGAATCATCACTTGCTCGAACATCATGGGAGGGGCTGCCGCCCCCCAACCCCCCCCCGCTACTTTTTTGACTTTTTGCAGAGATTGAGATTTAATTGCACCCCTATTCGAATCATCACTTCTGCGAACATCATGGGGGGGTGCTGCCACCCCCCCAACCCCCCTGCTACGTTTTTGGATTTGCTTTGCAGCGAGTGAAATGCCCTCTTTGAATCATCATTTGTTTTACCCCGTCAACCCGCCAGCTACTTTTAGATTTTGCTGATTTGTTGGTGATGCTGGGGATGTTGGCCGGACATGCGGGGGATGTTGAAAACGATGTTGGGGATGTTGACGGGCTAGTGTAAAATACGCCAATTTCGCGAGAAAATGCTGTCAAATACGACACTTTACTGGCCCGGAAAAAAACAAACAAAAAACGCACCCTAATACAATGGCCCATTGACAAATAATGTGTTCTTCTCCGAGGATTCCTTATTTTCGGGTCATGCGTTGCACGAATTCGTGTAGTAGTTTGCTGCTGGAAGTCGTCGGCTTGTGTGCCTGGATTTGACATCAAGGTTACTTTGGCACCTCATACGCGCACAATGCTTGCTGGGCTCGGGTTTCGGTTGCTTCGCTGCATGCGAAGTATATGACTCAGTTTGATGTTCACTACATTAAACACGACATAGCTGTTCAGTTCACGGGATAAGCTAGAAGCCAATCGCTTGGGCCATTTCGAGCAGTTCCCAAAAGCTAAGGGAACAGTGTGCAGTCCTTGTGAGCAAACGCGCAACTTACGATCTCGGGAAGTGGTTTCGGGTTTCGAGATCTTTGTGGCTCGGGATTCCTGCAAATCGTTGTGAATATCTCGCGGGCTTGGGGAGTTGAGTCCAGGCGACCGTGGAGTGGAAGAAGGCGCAGCCTGGGATGCAATGCGAAGCTTGCTGGTTCGCCTTGCTGGTTCGATAGGCATGAGAAATGGAATGACCCCGAGAAAAACCATCCCCTATGTGGTTTCCTTTTAGGGACTCCCACAAAACCCTTGCTCATTGCCGCACGAGTATGACAGCAGGTGGTTGGAGTATCCAAGATATCGGTCATTTGCCCTACAACAGTTGTCCCACAATGCCGGTGGTAGTGGGATTTCCGGAATGACCTCAGCCTGCATCAAGGTGCTTTTAAAAGGAGCATGTATCACCTGCGGGGGGCTTGTCGATTCGATTTCTGTTTGCCACGGGTTGGCCTCCCTTTCCTTTCCTTCCTTTAGACAGCATGCTGGCCATTGTGGGTCCAACAGGTGCATGTCCATCCTTTCATGATGATGATAGGGTATGTATTTGACCAGCTTTGCAGACCAAGAGGTTAGTCCAAGGGTTCCACGAATGATGCTTTCTTGAAGAGGTGATGCAAAATTTGAGGTCAGTGTCACTCAAGTCAAGTAGGTCCCTCTTATAGCACCAAAGTGTGTGCCTTGAAGTTGACCTCACACGTGGGGCTTTCCTATGCCACGAGGGTTCGGACGTGATTGCACACGGCGCTTGGCCGATCAGGCAACTCATCAGGGGTTGCTGCGACGGCACTTTGCGGCAACGCAGGGAAACTGTAGCTGGGCATGCCCTCGGGCCGAAACTGCGAGGTTGGCCTTGAATGCATAGTGAGATCTAGCCATCTGTCAGCATCAAAAGTCCCCGGACGTTTGTTGCCCGTGGGGAAATGGGTGGCATGAGACCCGACACCTCGACCCCTTGCAACACTTCTGGCTGGAAGCCTACGCGGTTCCAGCAAAAGAGCATGCGTGAAACAAACTAAAGGCAAAACACCACCAAAATGTGGGAAGACCGTTCATTAACTTGTGGGCAACACTAGGTTTGCCCCTTTTTTTCCGTGGTAATGCACAACCGGAGACATGGGGGAATGAAACCCAAGAACTTGTTCAACGATGCAACATGAAATGTGAGGTAGGTGTTGAACCTCCTTGGGTTCCTTATGGTTCGGGTCTGAGTTCTTGAATCGTCACCCGCCATCAGCTCCAGAAGCTGAGTACCCCGGCCAGGGGCTTGACGATTTGTGATGCCTGTGATGGTGGTCCAAGTGATTGTCGTGGGGCAGCCCCAGCCAGAAATAGTTGCGACCGCCTTCTTAATTCTTTACATGGTTCTGGGTAGACCATTATAATGCCGGGTCTTGATTGCTGCAAATGATGCAACCTGTGTTGTTCCAGCAACTTGCAATCTTTGTGGGATCCTAGGGCAGGCGGACAGCACATTCAGCTCATGAGGAGTTCAGCTCGGTTGCGGCAGGCCCTGACGTGCCCGGAAAACTACCCCCTGTGCTTCGACGACGGCGACTGCGTGCCCTTGGCCGGACCGGAGCGCTTCAGCCTAGGACCCCCGTTTGCCCCTTTAAAGCCGTCATGATACTTGGATGCCTGTGGTCTTTGATTGAGAGGGAGTCTGATTTAGACGTAATGTGTTTGTTGTCCTCTATAGCTTCTTTTCTGATTGTTGGTAGCTGCCTCTATTGACTCTTGGCGTCCTCTATGGTCATTGTCTACTGCAGGTTTGTTTATGGCCAATCCATAGCTTCATGCTTTGTCACGTAAGAATTTTCAGAGCTGCCCCTGTTGTCTTCCAAGGCTTCCTTCATTGTCACATGATGCCCCTTCCAGTCCATGGGGTAGTTGCCTCTATTCTTTTGCACCGCTTTCTCTCTTGCCGTATATAGCTTCCTGTACGGTCCTCAATGGCCTCCTCTACTGTGCTTTGGTAGAAGGTTCGTCAAACGTAGGGCCCTCTTTGGTATCCCCTTGAAAAGGCGGCACAAGGCGGCAGCAGGTCCCAAAAAGCGTCCATACTTTTGACAACACCCCAGTAGCTTTAGCCATTGTCCTTTGCAGCTCCCTCTATCTTCTAATTTTGCTTCATAGGCATAGCTTCTTGTGCCAACTTTGTTGTCCTTGTCGTAGCTCGCATGCGCTGTGCCATATCTCGGGTTTTGCTCCGGACCGGACACGGGACACCGGACACTGGACGACATGGTTGAGAACCCTGCTGCTCACCCAACAGTTTTGTCCGACTTCTCAAGGCGCGGTATTGCCTTGGAATCCGGGTGCCCTGAAGATGGGTGCGCCAGATGAAGCAAACAGTCCGGAGCAAAGTGGACCGGCGGGGCAACACAGCCCTGTTCAGTTGATTGGTAGATGTGGTGGCTGAATTGAACCAGCGGGTTGACCCTTTCACTGGCGAGGCCCCGATATGTTTCTGAAGTGGGGATGCCATTGGAAGATGTTTGTATGGTCTTCAAGCGCCTTGATGTAGGTTTGCAACAAGATGCAGGCCAGGCGCATCATACTTTGCTGATCGCACACTTCAGCTGCCAGAGGGCGGCATTTCAGCCATCCTCAAAAGCAACGCCAGAAGCAGACCTCGGCCCCTGCGAGGTCAGACCGTCCATTCTTAGCCTAAGTAATGTGACATAATCGAATGACTTGGTTACCTGCACAGACATTACCACCCTGGGGGTGAAGAGATGTGTCGGGTGAAGAGATCTGTTTACTGCAACTTCGTCAAGGAGGCACTGCGTGTGTGAGTATTTGTATCTATCTATGATACTATCCCTGCTTCCAGCATCATAGATGTAGAGGACCCTGGCTCTCCTCAGTTTAGAGAACAGCAGTGCCAACGGCATGAATTTGCCAGCGTTGCGAGCCTGGAATGCAATGTGCAAATGAGAACGTTCCGTGTTGTCTCTAGGCTTTAAGTTTGCAGTGCAATTTGCAGACGATTTGAGTCATGTGGGACGGATCCAGCCGAAAATTGCTGAAGCAAACCAGGTTAGCCTCTTGGGCCTCTAAGCTCAAAGCTCGAGCCAGTGTTGACAACTTGCCTCTCTAAAGTTCAATGAGTCACGCTCAAGCGCCTGGCGCCTGAGTGCCTTTTCTGGTGACGCTTCATGCTGCGAAGTTGGAAGTGTCTGTGTGCATGTATGCTTGATCATGCGCATGCATATTGCTTGCTTCGTCACATCCAAATATCTGCCCCCGGACATGGAAAGTTGAAACATCAAGGCCTATCCTTCTGAGACACAACACTTCCTTGGTGTCCTCAGGTGTCTGTCGATTGCAAGAACGGTTGCGCAGCTGGGACAGCAAGAGGTGGGTTCTGGGAGGTCGCAACATTGGCGTATCTCAAAAAAGTTTGCGGTTGTCGTTGGTCCATTTCGGACTGTCAACATGTGCATTGGTTCCTAGTCTTGACACGTGGAAAACACGCTGCTAATTCAGACAAAGTCGCGGTTGTTGAGTGGTCAAGAGATCCCTTGCTGACAGGCGATGTTCTGGATTTGTTTTTTTTCCAGTTGGAACATGCACAGTGAGAAGCTGTTCGCTGTTCGCATGGGTCAGCAACATGCAGACAGTCCGAGGTGTTTAGGGTCAACTGGTTGATCCCACATAAAAGCACCTTCCAAAGGTGTCAAGCTTGGCGTTTGGGGACGCTTGTCTGAAGTTTCCACAAGAAAGCTGCCATTGTTTGGGAGAGCTCTCAGTTTTGACACAGCCACACGTTCATCTCCGACAACTCACCCTGACAGCATCGCATTGAACGCCTTTGCGAGGCGTTTGGAGGTCACGGGGCCGCCACATAGATGAGCTTCGTGTGCTCTTACAGTCATGGAGAAGGCCGAAATGAAGCAGCATCAGACCAATCCTTCTGCTTTGCCAAGTTCAGATCTGTGAATACCCATTTGCTACCTGCCTCTACCTGAACCTCCAATGACATGACAACCGAATAAAAAGTTTCGGGTATGTCTTGAATCGAAATTGAAGACTTGCCCCCCGTCTGTTCTTTCGAAGCAGTCCACAAGAGCCCTAAGGGAGCCTGGGGCCACTTGCGATTGGTTGACCTTGGCTCATTGAACCCTTCAAATTGGGGTGGTTTGGGTGTGAATTGGAATTAGGGGCCCTGTGGTGGACATCATTTCGGTGGGATTTTATGTCCACCAGGGGTTCCCCATTAAGATTCAGAGCTATTTCAGGGCGGTAATATTTCGCCATGGGCTGTCAGATGAGGTTACCAAGGACCGGCGGAGAGCGTTTGTTGTTTCAGACACGGCTGGGCACAGGCCAATTCGACTTGTCTGCGCATTGGGAAAGCCAAAGCGAAATGGGTACCGCCAAAACAAGACAAACAACTGACAGGATCGAAATCCTTGCAAGCAAATGACCGACAGGTAAACGGACATGAAGATAATTCCTTGTCGCCTGCCTGATTTTGGACATCCGCTGGATCCGAGCGAATCCAAGGAGTGGTCAAGATCACCTACCCCGTTCAGCGATCCTTCAGCAGGGCCAGGGCTCTCAGCGCTGGCCATGAAGCGTTGAGAAGATGCTTCGTCTACCCAGTTCTCACTGGGTGAAAAGGGTTTATGGGGGCAATAGAATGGAATAAAACACTTGATTGATAGTTTTTGGCAAATGCCTCGAAAACCATTTAAGGGCTTTGGACAGCAACTCGTCTAGGTCCTCAACTTTATTGGCACAGCTGGGTGATGTGGCTACCAAGGACACTCTGCTGTCAGTGACTGTTCCCGAACCGTTTGGCGTGTAGTGTAAGAGTTGGTCAACACACTACTTCCCCGTTGAACCTGTGTTGGAAACACAACAAGCCGCTGTCCCACATGCAGGACAGTCTGAGTCCGACCAAAGGCTCAATTGGAGAATATCGTCCTGCGTATCTGGCCGGCCCACTGTGCAGTCTGAGCTTCTGTGCTGGGAGGCACGTCCTTTTCTTTTCCAAAGATGCCCAGTGCCCAACCGCAATCCATCTTGTATCGGGGTATGTGCAGCACTTACCCCAAAGTTTGATTGTTTTCCTCTTCCTAGATCCTGCGGGTCCGGACAAAAAAAAAAGTGGAAAAAAATACCCGTGCCCGTGAAACCATTGGCAAATGTAGTGTCACGTGTTCCCACCATTCTGCTGGATTACTTCCAGGCTTGGATCTCAGCAGGGAATGCCATCCCTTGTGGTTTTCTTTTTTTCGGGAATCCCCCTATCGCGGTTCATTTCCAACGACCCGCTCATTCCCTACCTATCGCAGCAAGATCTATCGCGTTTTTTGGCCTTGTGTCCCTCCAAGCCTCTCTCAGGTTTAGGGCCTAACCCCAACGACTATTTTGGTTCATAAGGGGGATTCCCAACAGTATCACAGTGGTGGGAGAAACCCCGAGTGATCCCACACAAGGGAATCTCCCCCATAAAATATGGGTGTTAGTCTTTGGGAAGCCCTTTCTATTCTATCACAGAAGTGGATTCCATTCCCCACAGCCCTGCTCAGGTTTAACTACATCGCCGGAGGGGATACCTTCGGCACCGAGTGCGACAATAGCAACGAGGCACGCGTCGATATGCGTCGATGCGGGTCTGCGCGTCGCTCTCTCGGATAGAGTTTTGCAGGAGCCATGCTTTGTGCTCGTTCTGTGGGAGGGTGTTTCTATTGATGAGAGCTATTTAGAGAAGGACACTTGTAAGAAAGACTGTAAGAAAAACAACCAGGTGACGCCGCAAAGATTCCTTGGTGCATCTTGTCATACTAGTTTTCAAGGGTTTGAATGATCAAGGTACTTGACAGATACATTTGGCAGTTGAGCCAAGATCACCGCTTATTTACAGGATCCCTTTGCAACGCGTGTTTTAGATGTGTTCTTTCAGGGACCCGGTGCTGTCACATTTGGATGCTGCACCGAAGCATTTTGTGTGAGGCATTGCCGGCGCTTTTTATGGAAACATTGGCTTGGCTTTCGCTTGCAGACAGAACAAGGCGACTCATGGGTGTGCTCATACCCCATGATTGACACACACACACAGGCACTAGGTTGGCTGGGTGGTGGAGGCACAACTTGCTTTCAACCGCCGCGAGCATACTGAATGGGTGGGTGGGTTGGTGGGTGGGTGGGTGGTTGGGTGGGTGGGTGGGTGGGTGTGGGGATGGTGTGGGGATGGGGTGGGGATGGGGTGGGGATGGGGTGGGGATGGGGTGGGGATGGGGTGGGGATGGGGTGGGTATGTGTGTGTATGGGTGTGGGTGCGTGTGTGGGCGGGTGGGTGGGTGCTTGGGTGGGTGAAACGAAGGCGTCCTTCCACATTGTTTCAATCAATAGTCTTAACTCTTCCTCGGAGTCAGCAAAGGGATTGACGTACATCACAGACTCTGCGCTTCTCGGAAGCTTGGCAGGCGATGAAAGAGAAGATGCTCGGCCAAACCCTCATGCGTTTGTGAGTTGTCTCCGCAGTTTTAAGGGCAAGGACGGCAAACATGTGGCACAGCGTCATCCAGAGCACCTGCCGAGTTGGTGATCTTTAAACAGTGTGGGAACTGGAGTTGCCTTCATTTCAGTAAATGCGGCCCCACGAACCCAATATTTCCAGGAGCCATCCTTTCAATCCATTTCATAATTTTCAGCCTAAGTCGCCATTTCATTTCAGTCAGCATCCCAGCAAGTGATTTCTCAGGCCCCCAGAAAGGCCTTTTCCAGGTTTGCCGTGAAGCAAATCGAGTTTCTGCTTGGCGCTTACTTGCTGCTGCGATAGGCAGGATTGGGGGAAATGAACCGTTTTGGGATTCCCAAATGCAGGAAGCAACCAGTTGGATGGTTTACTGCGGTCATTCCAATTCTCATTGCCTGCTGAGCGCCAAAAAGCTGGTTGAGCTCAATGCTCAACGTCTCGCTTTGGGTTTCAGTCTGGGAATCGGGGGCTTCAAATGGCCGGCGTGATATGAGTACCTCCCTGAATGGAAGGAGCCGTTGGGCAGGGCTCTTTTAGTGACAAGCCGTATTCAAGGCGAATCTGCGTTCGTGAGGCAGACTTGTTTTCTGAGGTACAGCTCATAGTTGCTTTTACCACGGCCACACACTTGTCGTTGAGCATCTACCGACACAGTAGGCTCGATGGTTCGTCACACTGACTTGAAATGGTGGTACCCGTAAGCCAGGGCGGTTTCTGCATTTGTAGATTCACAGAAACGCTTTACTTTGGTATACTTTTTTAGTGACCGAGTTATGTCTGAAGTCACTGAGAGGAACCGTCCCTGAATTTTCATTGAGTGGGCGTTTTTGGATTTACTGTGCCTCTATGCCAGGTTCTTAGATTACAGCTTGAGTATATAGCTTGAGCACCCGCCACAGTCATTGCTCTCATTCTGTGTTCAATGCTCCGATTCATCGACTCGTTGCTTGATTTGCGTATGGGAGTGGGGCTCCCTGCTCTCACTTGTGCTCTGTTTGCGCATGGAAAGTGGGGCGGCCCAACGTTTTCCACTTGACTTGGCTGTTCTGATTGATCGACTTGTGCTTTGTTTGCATATTGGAGTGGGGTGCCCTTTGAAGAAAGCAGGGTTTTCCAGGACCCTTACTCCATCCATCGGAGACATGGCGTCCATGTCGCCGATGCCCAGGAGCTCTTCCTTCAGAAGCGCACCTTTCGCGGGGTTCGCTCTGCTCCTGCTGCTGCGATGAGACGAAGCGGGATAGAGACCCTGAAACGCAGGGTAGACAAAAGATCGACCTGGGCCCAGCCAGTCACTCGCAGAAGTCAGTTTGGTTAGAAAATAGAAGGGTTCCGCTGGTCTAGATGGGTTTGATTCCATGTACCAGGGCCATCTTTATTTTTCCAAAAGGACCCCTATGGTGAATCGCCTGAGGTGGTGAAATTCATTACGTGACTTTTGCGAGGCCCTCCCCATTTCTCGGCACAAGTAGTACGTCCCAGGGAGCTGAAGCCGCGAGCCGCATGAGATAAAGAGCTGTGCTGCTTTGGGCCAAGGCATCCCGGGTGGTTCAGGCCAGGGAAGCTGCTTTCAAAGATACGGCTGTGGGTCAATAGGTAATCTGGACCCTAGTAAATGGACACATGGGCGAAAACCTGCGGTCCAATTCCTGGTGGTTTGACTTTGACCCACGCCCATACCCCTTGATGAAGTCGAGTGCGCAACTTGTCAGTTGAAATTCGAGCAAAGTGGAGTCGGCAAAGGTGCCTGTGGGTTGAGAGCTCCGTGGTGTATGGGAGCAGCTTCAGAAAGCCCGCTTATGCCATTGCTTGGGCTGTGCCATGGGAAGGCCCCGCGCAAGCAAAGCCCTGCACGGCGCAAGTCGGCTGAAGCACTTTGGGGAAAACATTGCTGCGTAAAGACCCACGCAAGCTCTGTTTCGGGACTGCTTGCAAAAGTTGTTGAATGCCAGGGGCTTAGCCGTCGGATTTCCAAACACAAGGGTTGCCGCATAGCAGATTCAGCAAAATTCAGAGGTCCAGGAAGTAATGAGGCGCAAGCAGGCGCAAGCAGGCCTTGGGGTTTGCGTAAGCTCGCCTCGCACAGCTACTGGAGGCAACACAAACTCAGGCAAAGTTGTGGGCCCAAAGCCAAAGGTCTGAGCAAGATGCCTACAAGGCGAAGACCCCCGAAAAGAACGACAGTTGTAAGTTGATCTGCTCGAGAGCATTTCTTCATCAACTTCATCCTCAAAGTCATCCATGTTATATTCAAGGTTGACGGCTTGCATAGACAGAGGAGCCCATGCATTCTCCCTGGGAAACGCTCAAAACGCCGACGCGTAAGCTTAGCATATTCGCTGCTAAAAAAACATGGGTCACGTAAGCAAGGAAACCTTCCACAAGATAGGGATTCCTTGCATATTTATAGAGTCGCTTGGAGGAAGTTCACCCAAGGCTCTTTTTTATGCCTCTCTTTCTGACCAATGTCTGAAGCAAAGATCTTGATAGACGACATTCGAAGGGATTTGACAAGAAGCGTCATTGAGTTATACAGCCTCTCAGCAATTTTAGCTGATTACATTGACAAGGGCTGTACAATCAGCAATCCTCTTAGGGTAAATTGTCCATTTGGTTAAGAACATTTGTTATTTTCCCCCGTTGGTTTTACAGGGAATCTACCACTACTGGACATATTTTCCCATTTTGTTCCGGGGACTTCAAGCAAATGGAGGGTACATCTTCCTGGGGCCATGCGCTTCGTTTTGGGAAAATCGATTCCCGGAACCTCCGAAGTTCCGAGCCGGGAGGTCCCCAAGTGTGGTGCCTTTTTGTACATTTTGGGGCACCATGTTTCAGTGAGTACTTGGTACATTTTGGGGCACCATGAAATAAGTGACCAGATGTGAACCAGTGTCTTGAGTTGCTCCTGGCAAGGTTCTGCTCGGACACTGACTTTCAAGGCTGGTTTGTCCACTGAGGCCCTAGACAATCTGGACTATGTGTTGAACGTCTGCACCTCAAGTGCCATGCCTGTGCAGAAGCTTGGGACTGCTTTGAACGTTCCTCAACTTCTTGCGGGTGCTACCGTTGCAGCCCAACTGCTTCAAGATGTTCAGACCAGTAAGCCCACCTGAGCGACTGCCTTTATTTACGGAAGACTACAGTCAAGGCAGGGCAGAAACATGTTTGGGGAAACTGAAGGTGCAAAACGAGGCAGGGAGACAACCCGAAACAAGATGGGGCCATTACATAACTGCCAGTGGCCGCCAGCGTGTTTCCGGTTGCATGGCATGTAAGGGGACGCAGTTGCTCCGGATGGACCCCTCAACCAGTAAGCCTGTTGCAGAAGGGAGTAGCACCTTGCTGAAAACTGACCTCAGCGATGTCCAGCTTGTTTTGTTGAGATAATTCAGGAGTGCAGTGCTGGGTTTTATTTGAAGTAACATTGCCGGGGCTTTGAGTTTACCCCTTGAAACCTTGAGCATCCTGATGTTTTCTCTTGAATGTGTTCTTTCTTGCTTGAAACCAGTGAATTTGCAAGCTCTTCGGGTTGTCCCCATGGCTTTCATCTTTGGCCCGGCGCCTCCCACTTGAAGCTATGATGTCTCTTGACAAGCCAGTTTGCGGCGACCTGCAGTAATAGCACCCGCATGTGGGAGGAGTTTGCAATGTTCCAGCTTGGCGCATAAGTTGAGCCTGCTCCAAAAGGACAGATTGGCTTAAGCTGTCGAGACTCACCATGGAAACCGGCTAGCTGCAAATGGCTTGCAGGTGTTCACAGGGAACATGACTTTTTCTCTATTGATCTGACCTTTCTGGGGAGGGAATGGCGCAGCTTTTCATTTATAACCGCAGGGCTACTAATCAAAGGGCTATTCACGAAAGGGCTGCCCCCACCCTCGTCATAGAAGGCCTTTCTTTTGTGCTTTGATGTGCTCTTTTTTCGGAGAGTAGCATGTTAGCTTGCCAGCGGCACGCCGCCGTTCTGTCCAGGTAGGCGACAACTTTTACTGGGGCGGTATCGATGCGACGTGCCAGGGGCCCAGCAGTGACGCTGATGGTGTGACGCTGTTCCATGCTTGATTCGTGTAAAACAACCAGCTGGCGAAATCCTGCACCACCTAAGAAGCCCTGGAATGATGATTCCCTTGTAAATACCAACCGACCATGGTTTCCCATAGTTTCAAAGTGGTGCAGGATTTTGTCCATCCACGGTATGGCCCGGGTTAGTATTTGTCGCCTGTCGGTTTGCAGATTGAGGGGTTTGTTTGTGGCAATACGTTGGGGCATTTGTACTCATTTTTGCGTGATTCATGGCGAGGTCATGGCGAGGTCATCGGGACAGGGGGAATCAGTTTGGAATTCTCGTCAATGTAGCACTTTGCCGTATTTTGTGCATCTTCTTGTGGCAATGGCAACCACAAACGACGCATCTTGTGATCCGCGAACAGCGGTTAAAAGGCCACGGAACCATCCGGCAGACAAGGAGTTGTTCCAGTATTACATGCCTTTTGTTCTTCAAGCAAGGAACCTCAACCTCTGGCCGGCCGGTTATGCTAGCAGGCCCGTTTTGTCACCAGATGCATTTCGAGTGGGGTATCTTTCTAAGTAAAAGAGCAAGGTGTATTTGGCTTCCAGCACGAACATACCATGCGGTGTTGATCACTTGAAAGGTGTGTCATTCTCTATTCTTGGTAGCCGTTTCGATCTGAGTGTGCTGTTGATGGAACTAGGTGGCCACAGATCGACCCGAGTGCCGCATGATGTACCCGTTGCTTTCCTATTCTTTCCAGTCAGATGTTCAAGTGGGTCTCCAATCCCTGAGAGGATCTTGGTGCAGTGCTTTTTCCCTGCTGAAGGTAACACCTCTCACCAACTGCCCACGTAGAGCACCCAGACGATCCTGTGGGAAGGGAGCAGGTTGCAATTTCCGGCTCAATGGTAACCAGAGAAACCTTGGCACTTCCCAGCTTTCAGGTTATTACTTGAGAACCATCGGCATCATTTTTGACTTGTCATCCTTTATGTTTGTTCGCAGCTGCAACTGTGCTACGGACAAAGAATCATCCAACCCTGAGTGCAGTCGAATGTAGGGGAACGTCAGATGGTTCAAGATACTGGTGAGATATTGCAGGATTCTAAAGTTGTCACGCCATCCTAGCAAGTACGTACACTCCCTCAGACTTACTTTAGACACAGAACTTGTCCAAGATTCCCACACACATGTTTTGGACTGACACGCTTTCACTTAATCATTTGGCAGCTTGCATGTCATCCTGAGGGGCTTCCGTTCTATTTCCTATGGTTCTGTCTTGCGCGAGGCGGCCGGTTCGATCAATTCGACGGCGGCAAACAGCTCACGGCCCAGCTAGAATGCTTCGCTTGGATCGTGCACGGCTTTGAGCCGAGCGGCCAAGGAAGAACCAGCGAACATGCTAGGGGTTGATTCCAACCATTATTTTAAACCATCGTTCTTTTCAACAACCAGCTGTTTCTCTGGGTTTTTGATGGTTTCCTGAAAAGAAGGATCCTGGAAAGAATGGGGAAGGTACTGTGAGACATGGGTGTTTTTTTGTTCAGCGGAGCCCCCGAAGGTGGTTGTCCTTTTGGTTTTCCTTCAGAACCACAAACAAAGGGTATCCTGGTATCCTCAAAAGAAGACACCCCCGTGCTAAAGTGCAGATCGTGCTCTTGCTTTCAATCTGGAGTGAAGGCCTTACGGTTGTCACGTGCGTGTATCTCACACATTCTGACATTGTTCACCGTTGATGTTCTTTCTCGTTATAAACAAAGCATGGATCTCCAATATGATTCTATATGGCAAGGACCAGCATGATTCCCCATGACCAGCTGTGGTTCTGATGTTGAACAGCGCCCTAGTTGATCGCACACAAGTAACAATAGACTGGGTAGCTTGCGTATGCAGGAAGAGCCTCCGAGACCTCTCGAAGGGCTGGTGGCCAATTGTGACCCTGGCATACATGCAAAACAAAAACAGCTTGGAGGGTGTGAACGGAGACTTGAATAACATCTAGGCTCGATTTGGTCAGAGGGGTTGTCACTTAGGGACACGTGCACCGGGTTGACCATTCTGGAGCTTTGAGGCCAAGTTTTGGGTGATAGACACATTGGGATCTTGGCTCATGTTCTGTTGCTTCTGAGTGTTCCGAGGTGGCTGTGGCTCAAAAAACCGGAATTCCAAAATGGGTTGCCCTGGTAAGTGGATTTACATAGACCAAAACCTGCGGTTTGCCCCGATCGTTCAATTTTGAGCCACACCCAGGTGGCAGCACATCTATGAGGACATGTGCACGCCTCAACGAAAGCGGGATG